GATTAACAGAACTCAAAAACCACTGGGCGAATTGCCACCAAATTTGGACACAAGACACCTATCAGGCCAACAAATGACCATCACTCATAAAAACCTTGAAAAACACAGCAGAAGAGACTTTAAAAGCAAAAAAAAAATGCATTACAATACATACGCAAAACCACATATATACACAAACACACACACAAATATATACACACATATATACACATATATACTGACACAAAACATATATGCAGACTGGGCCACAGCACACATGTTCAAAACCACATATATACACAAACACACATATATACACATATACACAAATATATACACAGATATATATACATACACAAAGCACATATACACGGACTGGACCACAGCAACGCATGGCAGGGGGCGGCTATTGTAAAATGATTAAAAACTCAGGGTGAGATAAAAGGAGCAGATTATTTGTAAGGGAGAGCTCATAGGGAAAGGGGGTAGTAAACAGGCCTTCGTACAAGGGGGAGGTGTACTCCAAAGGACAAAAGCATTGAGGGGAGCAATAGCATAAAGTTGTATGGCTACTCTCCAAAAGCGCAATGGCAGAGCCAGATCTTGAGATTCTTTTTAAAGCTTTCTAAGGTAGGGGCTTTCTTAATCTCTCCTGGCAATGAGTTCCAAAGTTGGGGGGCCACGGAGGAGAAGGCTCTCTCCCTTGTACCCACAAGATGAGCCTGTGAAACTGGCAGGGGCGAAAGGAGGGCCTCCCTAGAAAATCGAAGAGCTCGGCTGGTTCATGAAGTCACGAAGGTAGGTGGGTCCCAAATAGTTTAGAGCTTTATAGGCGAGAACCTGTACCTTGAATTGGGACCGGAAAATGAACAGCAGCTAATGAAGCTCCTTAAACAGGGGGTTGATCACTCCCTGTAAGTCACCCCAGTTATTAATCTGGCTGCCGAGCGTTGGATGAGTTGTAATTTCCAGGCCATCTTCAAGGATAACCCCACGTAGAGTGTATTGCAGTAGTCCAGTCTAGAGGTAACTAAGGCATGGACCACCATGGTCAAGTCAGACTTCATGAGGTATGGTCGCAGTTGGAGCCCGAGTTTCAATTGTGTGAAGTCTCTCCTGGCCACCGCCAACACCTGTGCATCAAGCGTCAGCGCTGAATCCAGGAGGACCCCCAAACTGCGGACCTACGACTTCAGGGAGAGTGAAACCCCGTCCAGCACTGGTTGCCATCCAATACCCCGATCAGACGGACACAGGATATCTAAGCTAGTTCAGAATAATACTAAAAGCCACTGTTTGCTCCAACCTGTTCCTCTAGTAATGTGGGAAAGATGGTTAAAATTATTGCTTTAGACACAGACAAACAAAATGTGAAATGGTTTTGTCTCTTTGTAGACTTCTTGTCCACAGCCGCATGGTAGACGGTAGACTCCTGCAGAGGTGAGAGGATCCCTCTTGTCCTTTGCTGAACAGATTTTCTTCGTGGGTCTCTATTTATTAATTTATTTATTTATTTACTTTGCTTATATACCGCTGTATCTCAAGCCCGAAGGCGACTCACAGCGGTTCACAAACAGTAAAAACAGTAGAAACAGCAGTGGTTCCATACAACATATAACAATTGACTTAACACATTATCCATAAATTACCAATAAGCAATTACAATGCACAATTATTACGAAAAACAACCGTACCCAATCTTCTCATCATCCAAGCGTAGTCCAGGTTCGTCGTCCATTGTTCCATTCCTATGTTCCATTACCAGATTGCACTAAATTACTCAAAACGCCTGCACAAACATCCAGGTCTTCACCTTTTTGCGGAATACCATTCGAGATGGTGCTAGTCTAATGTCCGTAGGAAGGGCGTTCCACAGCCGAGGAGCCACCACCGAGAAGGCCCTATCTCTCGTCCCCGCCAGCCGAGCTTGAGAAGCAGGCGGGATCGAGAGCAGGGTCTCCCCGGAAGATCTCAAAGTCCTGGTGGGTTCATAGGCAGATGCCTTGATAGGTAGCTTGGGCCGGAACCGTTTAGGGCTTTAAAGGCCAACGCCAGCACTTTGAATTCAGCCCGGTAGCAGATCGGTAGCCAGTGGAGTTGGCGCAACAGGGGGGTTGTATGCTCCCTGCGCTCCACTCCTGTTAAAATCATGGCTGCCGAGCGTTGGACTAGTTGGAGCTTCCGAGCTGTCTTCAAAGGCACCCCCACGTAGAGAGCGTTGCAGTAGTCTAAACGGGATGTAACCAGAGCGTGGACTACCGTGGCCAAGTCAGACTTCCCAAGGTACGGGCGCAGCTGGCGCACAAGTTTAGCTGTGCAAATGCTCCCCTGGTCACCGCCGAAACCTGGGGTTCCAGGTTTCTATATAGTTTGTGTTTCCTCATCAGCTTCCCTATAGCGATCAGTGGTCCCCTTGATGTATGATATTTATTTATTTATTGTGTCAGGAGCAAACCAAACAGTTAATTGTATTTTTTAAAAAAAGAATAAAAAAAACTCACAAAGTTTGCAAGCTTGGCATTCTATTAATAATGTCCTTTGATCAGTAGCTGGCCACTTGGAGTGCCTCTGGTGTTGCAGTGGTTTTTGAGTTCTGTTAATCCCACAAACGAACATTACATGTTTATTTATATAGATGTGTATGTTATTGTTTGTTGGCGGCCTTGGCCTTTGTAAGCCGCATCGAGGCCTGCGGGAGATTTTGCAGGGTATAAATAAAGATAATAATAATAATAATAATACTATGAATTGTCGAAGGCTTTCATGGCTGGAATCCTAGATTCTTGTGGGTTTTTTCAGGCTATAGGGCCATGTTCTAGAGGCATTTCTCCTGACGTTTCGCCTGCATCTATGGCAAGCATCCTCAGAGGTTGTGAGGTCTGTTGGAATTAGGACAATGGGTTTATATATCTGTGGAATGGCTGGGGCAAAGAGCTCTTCTCTGCTGGAGCTAGGTGTGAAAGTGTTCTTGCCATACATCAGGGGAACCACTGACCACATAGGGAAGCTCATGAGGAAACACAAAATACAAACAATCTACAGACCCACCAAGAAAATCCAACAAATGCTACATTCAGCAAAGGACAAGAGGGATCCTCTCACCTCTGCAGGAGTCTACTGTATACCATGCAGCTGTGGACAAGTCTACATAGGGACCACCAAACGCAGCAGAATCCCCCAAACACGCATCAAGGAACATGAAAGGCACTGCAGACTACTTCAACCAGAGAAGTCAGCCATAGCAGAGCACCTGATGAACCAGCCTGGACACAGCATATTATTTGAGAACACAGAAATGCTGGAACACTCTCACAACCACCATGTCAGACTACACAGAGAAGCCATTGAAATCCACAAGCATGTGGACAATTTCAACAGAAAAGAGGAAACCATGAAAATGAACAAAATCTGGCTACCAGTATTAAAAACTCTAAAATTACAACAGCAAAACAGCAGAGAGGAAACAACCAGGAACATCTTAACACCTCTCAACAAAAGATTTCCCAGGCTCAGCCAGGCCTTCAAATGCTAATGAAGGTGGTCAGTTGAAACATTCACACCTAGCTCCAGCAGAGAAGAGCTCTTTGCCCCACCCCAGCATTCCACAGATATATAAACCCATTGTCCTAATTCCAACAGACCTCACTACCTCTGAGGATGCTTGCCATAGATGCAGGCGAAACGTCAGGAGAAATGCCTCTAGAACATGGCTCACCTTCCTAATGCCGACCCCTTAATACAGTTCCTCATGTTGCGGTGTGACCCCCAACCATAAATTATTTTCGTTGCTCTTCATAACTTTAATTTTGCTCCTGTTACTAATTGTAATGTAAATATCTGTGTGGACTTGACTTTCTTTTAGCTCTGTGGTTCTCAACCTTCCTAATTCCACGATCTTTTATACATTTCCTCATGTTGTGGTGACCCCCAACCATAACATTATTTTCATTGTTATTTCATAACTGTAATTTTGCTACTGTTATGAATTGTTATGTAAATATCTGATATTCAGGGTGTATTTTCATTCACTGGACCAAATTTGGCACAAATACCCAATACACTGAAATTTGAATACTAGTGGGGTTGGGGGGAGTTTGTCACTTTGGAGTTGTAGTTGCTGGAATTTATAGTTATCTTACAATCAAAGAGCATTCTGAACTCCACCAGTGATGGAATTGAACCAAACTTGGCACACAGAACTTCCATGACCAGCAGAAAATACTAGAAGAGTTAGGTGGGTTTTGCCTTGAGTTTTGGAGTTGTAGTTCACCTACATCCAAAGAACACTGTAAACTCAAACAATGATGGATCTTGATGTCAAACTTGGCATGAATACTTAACATGCCCAATCATGAACACTGGTGGAGTTTGGGGGAAAATAGACCTTGACATTTGGGAGTTGTAGTTGCTGAGATTTATAGTTCACCTAAAATCAAAGAGCATTCTGAACCCCACCAATGTAGAATTGGGCCAAACTTCCCACACAAACCCTCCACCATCAAAAAATACTGTGTTTTCTGATGGTCTTTGGTGACCCCCCTGACGCCCTCTGGCGACCCCCCCAGGGGTCCCGACCCCCAGGTTGAGAAACGCTGCTCTAGAACATGGCTCTATAGCCCGAAAAAACCCACAAGAACCTAATAATAATACTAATAATGCTTCTGGAACATTGCCAGACAGCCCGGAAAACACACAACAACCGGTTTCTAAAAATGCAGACTTGGTGGAACTTCCCTCCTGCCTCTTCTGCTCCATTCTCCCCAGTTGAAGATAAGCCCCGCCCCTTTTTTCCCGGCGCGGGAGGGGCCCTCTCCTCTTTGTGGAAACTGTGGCCACGCCCCCTTGGCTGCTGACCATTGGGAGGGAAGGAGGCGCTGACGTCACTCTCCTCAGGCCCCGCCCTTTTTTCCGGCGCGGGAGGGAGGGGCCCTCCCCATTGGCGAGCCCCGTGGCCACGCCCCCTTGGCTGCTGCCCATTGGTGGAAAGGAGGCGCTGACGTCACTGTTGTCCCTCCCGCTTCACCGGCGCCGCCGCCATTTTCAGTGAGGAAGGACAGAGAGGAGGAGGTGAGTGAAGGGCGTCCGGGGGTGAGGCCGCTCGCCAAACAGATCTCCACCCGGGACCCATTTCGGTCTCTTCCAACTCGAGAAATACATCTTGAGATGGGCCAGGAATTCCTCTGTTGCGGGCAGGTCTGGGCCACGAGGCCGGGGAGGGAGGGAGGCCTTTCCCTCAGCGGTGGCCTCCTCTTTCCTGAGGGATTCCTTCCCTGGAGGACAGGCCCAGAGAGAGAGAGAGAGAGAGAGAGAGAGAGACATCCGGGCCCTTCTGGAGTGGGTCTCCTTGCAGAGCCTCCATTCAGCTTCCCATCCCGTTTTGAGCCTGGATTTTAAACGTTCTGCCTTGTGTTTTAGTCTCTTTTTCTCTGAATTATAATATGTATTTTATAGAAACACGTTTTAACGTGCATCTTTTGTGTAAAATATATCTATCTATATATAAATGCTCTGTGCATAATGAGGAGTTCCTTAAGAACAAAAGAACCAATGAACGAAATCACACCAAATTTGGCAACAAAACCTCTCACAACACAAGGAGTGACCATCATTCGTCATTTGGGAGTTGTAGTTGCGAAAGTTTATTAAACTGCCCAAACTTGGTTCTTGCAGAAGGGACATTTTGCTCTCGTTTCTCAATGAATATCTAATAGAGACCCAACCAAATTAACATTGGGTGTTGTAGGTTTTTTCGGGCTCTATGGCCATGTTCTAGAGGTCTGTTGGAACTAGGAAAAACGGTTTATATATCTGTGGAATGACCAGGGTGGGACAAAGAACCCTTGTCTGTTGGAGCTAGGTGTGAATGTTTCAATTGGCCACCTTGATTAGCATTTGATGACCTGGCAGTTTTTTGGTGTGGCTTGTTCGTGCCAGGCCTTGAAGCTGCAAGGCTTTGCAATGCTAATCAAGGTGATTATTTGCAACATTCACAACAGACAAGAGTTCTTTGTCCCACCCTGGTCATTCCACAGATTTTCCTAGTTCCAACAGATCTCACAACCTCTGAGGATGCTTGCCATAGATGCAGGCAAAACGTCAGGAGAGAATGCCTCTAGAACAGGGGTCCTCAAACCAAGGCCCGGGGGCCAGACACGGCCCTCCAAGGTCATTTACCCGGCCCTTGCTCTGAGTCAACCTAAGTCTGAAATGACTTGAAAGCACACAACAACAACAATCCTATCTCATCAGTCAAAAGCAGGCCCACACCCCATTGAAATACTAATCTATCTATATCAGTGTTTCTCAACCTGGGGGTCGGGACCCCTGTGGGGGTCGCGAGGGGGTGTCAGAGGGGTCGCCAAAGACCATCAGAAAACATAGTATTTTCTGTTGGTCATGGGGGTTCTGTGTGGAAAGTTTGGTCCAATTCTATTGTTGGTGGGGTTCAGAATGCTATTTCATTGTGGGTGAACTACAAATCCCAACAACTACAACTCCCAAATGGCAAGGTATATTTTCTCCAAATTCTACCAGTGTTCACATTTTGGCATATTGAGTATTTGTGCCAAGTCTCATCCATATCCATCATTGCTTGAGTCCACAGTGTTCTCTGGATGTAGGTGAACTACAACTCCAAAAACTCAAGGTCAATGTTCTCCAGAACTTCCCAGTATTTTCTCTTGGTCATGGGTATTCTGTGTGCCATGTTTGATTCAATTTCATCATTGATGGAGTTCAGAAGGCTCTTTGATTTAAGGTAAACTATAAATCCCAGCAACGTCAGCATTACCAAATGACAAAATCGATCACCCCCAATTCCACCAGTATTCAAATTTTGGGCGTATCAGGTATTTGTGCTAAATTTGGTCCAGTGAATGCAAATACATCCTGCATATTTACATTATGACTCTTAACAGTAGCAAAATTACAGTTATGAAGTAGCAACGAAAATAACGTTATGGTTGGGGGTCACCACAACATGAGGACGTGTACTAAGGGGTCGCGACATTAGGAAGGTTGAGAACCACTGATCTATATAAAAATGCTCTGTGCATAATGAGCTCCCTAAAAACAAAAGAACCAATGAACGAAATCACACCAAATTTGGCAACAAAACCTCTCACAACACAAGGAGTGACCATCATTCGTCATTTGGGAGTTGTAGTTGCTGGGATTTATAGTTCACCTACAATCAAAGAGCATTATGAACTCCACCAAAGATGGAATTGATACAAACGTGGCAGACAGAACTCCCATGCCCAACAGAAAACACTAGAAGGGATTGGTGGGCACTGGTCTTTAAGAGTTGTAGTTCACCTACACCCAGAGAGCACTGTGGACTCAAACAATGATGGATCTGGACCAAACTTGACAATGATACTCAATATGCTCAAATATGAACACAGATGGAGTTTGGGGAAAATAGACATTCACATTTGAGAGTTGTAGTTACTGGGATTTATAGTTCACCTACAATCAAAGAGCATTCTGAACCCCACCAATGATGGAATTGGGCCAAACTTCCCACACAGAACCCCCATGAGCAAAAGAAAATACTTAAGGCCATCCAGTCCAACTCTTCACCAGGGCAAGAAAACGTAATCAAAGTCCTCTGGACAAAGAGCCACCCAGCCATAGATATAGAGAGATAGATAGCTGTGATTCACACACAGAGAGATATAGTATAGATTTGAATGGGACCCTTAAAGGAGGACAATGATATGTGGGCAAACCAGGCACTCTCCACACCAACAACTGTTTACCCACAAGCATAAAGAAATTACATATATTAGAAACCAACACTTTCTCATTCCTCTATTTTCCAGATCAACAGACTGGGCCACAGCAACGTATGGCAGGGGACAGCTAGTTTTATATATAACTAGTAGTAGGCATGGGCAATCCATGGTTCTAAAGTACTGACAAAATGAGAGCAAGCTGATGCTTTGCTTCTACAGTTTTGCTAAAGTTCTGGTGGTGAAAACTTCAGAATTCTAACAAAACTTTCAAAATTTCGTCATAAATGGCAGTTCCTAATTGGTTCTGTCATAAAAATTGCCAATAACAAAATAATAATGAAATGTTGAAAGTTTTGTTAGAGTTCTGAAACACCTCAGAAGCAAATCACCAGCGCGCCCTCTAGATTTCGCCCATGTCCAGCATTATTTTTAATTTTAATTACATTTTGGCCTACCCATAATTTTTAAAGTGTGTTGTCCTATTGATATTGCTTATGTTATTGTTTTATTGTTATGTTGTTTTTCAATTGTGTTTTGTTGTTATTGCTTGTATTGTTGTATTTTGGGCTCGGCCTCATGTAAGCCGCACCGAGTCCCCTGGGGAGATGGTAGCGGAGTATAAATAAAGTGTTATTATTATTATTATTATTATTTTGTAAGTACTTTAGAACCATTTAGAACAGGGGTCTTCAAACTAAGGCCCGAGGGTCAAATGCGGCCCTCCAAGGTAATTTACCTGACCTTTGCTCAGGTTCAACCTAAGTCTGAAACAACTTGAAAGCACACAACAACAACAACAACAACAACAATCTCATCAGCCAAAAGCAGGTCCACACTTCCCATTGAAATACTAATACGTTTATATTTGTTAAAATATAAATTTGTTAAAAACCCATTTCCTACTTCCAACAGACCTCACTACCTCTGAGGATGCTTGCCATCGATGCAGGCGAAACATCAGGAGAAAATGCCTCTAGAACATGGCCATATAGCCCGGAAAAACCTACAACAACCCACTGTTAAAATTGTGCTTCATTTTAATTATTGTATTGTTTTAACGTGTTTTTTTGCACTACAAATAAGATATGTGCAGTGTGCATAGGAATTCATTCATGTTTTTTTTTCTTCAAATTATAATCCGGCCCTCCCAACAGTTTGAGGGACTGTGACCTGGCCCTCTGTTTAAAAAGTGTGAGGACCCCTGTTTTAGAACCATGGATTGCCCATGCCTAATAACTAGCCTTTCCCTGACATGCGTTGCTGTGGCCCAGTCTGGTGATCTCAAATATAAAGTAATGAGAAAGTGTTGGTTTCTAATATAAGTAATTTCTTTATACTTGTGGGTAAACAGTATTTCTTGTTGTTTCTTTGTTGGTGTTGATGTGGAGATTGTCTGGTTTGCCTACTCTGGAACATGCAACATATTATTGCCCTTCTTTAGGGGTCCCTTTCAAATCTATGATGCTATATCTGTGTGTGTATGAATCATATATATCTATCTGTATCTAAGGTTGGATAGCTCTTTGTCAGGAGGGCTTTGATCACATTTTCTTCCCCTGATGAAGGGAGTTGGACTGGATGGCCTCAAGGCAGAATTTCTCAACCTGGGGGTTGGCACCTGTGTGAGGGTTGTGAGGGGGTGTCAGAAGAGTTGCCAAAGACCACCAGAAAACACAGTATTTTCTGTTGCTCATGAGGGTTCTGTGTGGGAAGTCTGGCCCAATTTTATCCTTGGTGGGGTTCAGAATGCTCTGATTGTGGGTGAACTATAAATCCCAGTAACTACAACTCCCAAATGTCAAGGTCTATTTCCCCCAAACACCATCTGTGTTCATATTTCGGCATATTGAGTATTCATGCCAAGTTTGGTCCAGATCCATCATTGAGTCCACAGTGATCTCTGGATGTAGGTGAACTCCATCTCCCAAACTCTGGATGGCCTCACGTTGGACTGGATGGCCTCAAGGCAGCATTTCTCAACCTGGGGGACGGAACCCCGGGGGGGGGGGGTGCTGTGAGGGGGTGTCGGAAGAGTTGCCAAAACCACCAGAGAACAGTATTTTCTCATGAGGGTTCTGTTGGGAAGTTTGGCCCACTTCTATCATTGGTGGGGTTCAGAATGCTCTTTATTTGTGGGTGAACTATAAATCCCTGCAACTACAACTCCCTGATGTTACGATCTATTTCCCCCCATCTCCACCTGTGTTCATATTTGGGCATGAAGTGTTCATGACAAGTTTGGTCTAGATCCTTCATTGTTTGAGCCTACAGCGCTCTCTGTATGTAGGGGAACTACAACTTCAAAACTCAAGGTAAATGCTCACCAAA